AAAAAAAAAAAAAAAAAAAAAAAAAGAAAACCAGATTTCATTCTCTCAGTGTCAATTTCAGGGTGGTTCTCAAATGAGAGGAAGAGGAGGATTTAATGAATGACTGAAGATATCAAGAGTATAACTTTTTTGATACAGGGTCTCGCTCTGCACTTCAGGCTGGCTTTGAACTATGTAGTCCCAAGTTGGCCTCAAACTTGTGATCCTCCAGCCTCAGCCTCCCGAATGCTGAGATTACAGGCATGCGCCATTGTGCCCCTTATAAAGTGTATAACTTGGAAAAAACACTAACTCAGGAGTATAAGCAGTTAACAAAGGGAATTAGGAAAAGCTTGGCTTGGCAGGAAAAGGGATGCTGCTCATAGAAGACTAATGGACTGGGGTAGAGCACTTGCCTAGCAGGTACAAGGCCCAGATTCAGTTACCAGCATCCTCCTCTCCCCAAAAAAGAGACAAGGAAGGAAGGAGGGAGGGAGAGAAAGGAATATTAGCCAGGTGTGGGGTCACACACCTGTAATCCCAGCTTCTGGGAGACTGAGGTAGGAAATCTGAGTTCTAGTTCAGCCTAGGCTGCTTAGTAACTACCTGACCAAACACTGAAGTATAAAGTGAGGCAATTGAATATATTACTCTAAGAAAGAAAGCTTTTTGTTTTGTTTTATGAGGTGCTGGGGGTAAAATCCAGAGCTTTGCACATCCCAGGCAAATGCTCTCTTGCTGAGCTATACTTATCATCCTTGTTTTTTGGTTTTTTGAAACAGGGTCTTGCTGTGTAGTCCAGGCTGGCCTTGAACTTAGGATCCTCCTGCCTCAGCTTGCTAAGTGCTGGGATTACAGGTGTGGACCACCATACCCACCTATTACATACTTAGACATATGCTTGAAATATTTCCTTAGGTTAACATTTTTTTTTTTTTTTTTTTTTTTTTGGTGGTACAAGGCCTTCACACTGAGCTGCATTCTCAACCCTTTTTTGGTGTATTTGTTTGTTTTGGTTTTTTGAGACAGGCTCTCACTGGGTAGTTCAGGTTGGTCTCAAAGTTGTAATAATCCTGTCTCAGCCTCCCAAATGCTTAGATTACCACCATGCCTGTCTCCCTGGCCCCTTTTTACTTTTTTTTATTTTAAGACACAACCTTGCTTAGTTGCTAAATTGCCTAGGCTGGGCTCTACTTTTGATTCTACTGCTTCAGTGTCCCAGGCTGCTGTGATTCCAAGTGTGCGACACTACACCCCGCTGTGTAAGTCTTCGTAAAAACTTTTTCTACAGGCTGGGAGTGTGGCTCTGTGGGAGGGTGCTTGACTGGTATGCACGAAACCATGGCTCAATCCTGGGATTGGCAAAGAAAAAAGAAAGAACTTTTCTAAACCCAGGTATGGTGGCACATGGCTGTATTCCCAGTACTTGGGATGCTGAAGCAGGAGGATCACCACAAGTTTGAGGCCAGTCTGAACTATATAGCAAGATCCTATCACAAAAAAAGAAAAAAGAAAAGTTGTTCTCACTACCAGTATTTTCTTTAGTGAGTCCCATCACTTTAGTGAAATGTTGTTGCTGGAGCTGGGAGAGGTAGTACTGTAATAATGATGATGGTAACGACGTGTGTGAACCGGCTTCTGTGTGGCATGCTAGTCGTCTTACTCACCCTAGGATTAGGTATTACTGTTTCTTTGAGACAGGGTCTCACTATGTAGTTGAGACTGACCTGGAACTCACTATATAGCCCAGGCTGGTCTCGAATTTACAGCATCCTCCTGCCTCAGCCTCCTGAGTGCTGGGATTACAGGCATGCACCACCATGCCCGGCTTTATTACTGTTTCATTTTATAGGGAAGGGAAGAAAATTATAGTAAATGACTTTCCCAAAGTCACATGACATGTCCTAGTAGAGGTAGGATTTATTCTGTGTCTTCTGAGTCTAAAGCCCAGTTTTGGACTTCTTTGTCTCTGTAGCCCCTGCAAAGTGGATTTTTATATTGCGCGGTCTGACTTTAAAGCCGGTACAGTTTATGATGCTGTCAGTGAGTGCTCAGTCACATGGACAAGAAAGAAAAACACAGAAAGCTGACAGGCCATTTAAGCTCACCTAGACTAAAGTTATTGTTAAAGTGGTCTTTCATAATATAACATGACAGATCCCTGACTTACAGAGTTCTCCCCTGCCCGAGAGCATCAGAAACAGCTGACATTTAGCTAGGTAAGGAGAATGTTACCCAGCAGCTGCTAAGCAGGAATAAGACTCAGACTGCTTGTTCATAGTTGTGTACTACTGTGCATTCCGTTTTTTCTCAGCTTGAAAATTTACACTTTTTTCCCCCCCTCACATTCAGAAATCATTATGAAACTTTACAAAAGCATTATTTTTCTCATCACTTATTGGGGGGGTGCTTAAATTTAGGGTGATCCTCCTGCTTCATCCTCCCAAATGCTGGGATTACAGGTATGAACCACCATACCTGGCTATTTTTTTCTTTAAAAACTGCTACCAGATAAGAAAATGCCATATAGTTCTGTCTTTATTTTTAAGAGTAATCAGTTTAAAAGAGTCCAGACCTGGATTCTAGGCTTAGATCTGTTAGTAATTCTGTATGAACTCTGACAGTCATCTCATTTCACTGGGCGGCTCTGTAGAATGAAGTGGCTGAACTGCGTGATTCCTTGTTCTCTTCACGCCTCACATGCCCAACTAAGAAATCACAAGACTATGGCCAGGGCCCTGGGTTTTATCTAGCTCTTACTAGTTATGTGACCCTGATCAAGTCACAAAATTTCTTTGTGCTTTAGATCCTTTGTCTCTTATGTGGCAGAAATCGGATTACTAAGTTCCTGTGAGAATCAAATAAAATAATAGTAAACGAGAAGCATGCTGACTGATTGTAAATCAAACTATAAATGTAAAGTGCTCTAGGTTCTTACATAAATGAAGTCATTGCCATATTTGAACTATTTGAGTAACAAGACTATCTTACTTAATGAATGAGAAACTTCTGAAATACATGTATTATTAGTATTATTAGTATTGAATGCATTTGATGTGACAGTAATTATTTTTAAATACCTATGCTGTGTTAAATGTTAATAAACCTAATATATTTTCTCAAAATAATATACTAGTGATATTTTTTAATGTTAGGAATTGATTTGGGCTTGGCTTTCGTAAAGAATCCTTCTTGATTACTACATGGGCTGAGGGAGAAATCAAAGATGATAAAGCCATTTAGTTCATAATGGAAGTATGTTGGAGTTTTGTAATATGAATTTTTACACTAAAGTTTAGTAAACTTTTCATAAGGTAATCAGATTTCATAGTTCACTGTCCTGTAAAGTTAAAGATGTCTGCTTTTTTTTTTACATAGATTCTCACTGGGTAGTCTATCAGCCTTGGGTTCATTATGTATACCCAGCTGGCCAGAACTTGGAGATCCACCTGTCTCAACTCCTAAATGCCAGGATTATAGCCCACATACCAGCATGCTTAGCTTTTAAGATTTCTACTCTTAAATTAAATTATATGGCTTCATTAGGATTTTTTTTTTTTTGTACTGGGAATTGAACTTGGGTCCTTGTGCATGTGAGGTAGGCAGTGCAACCACTGAGCTAAGTCCCTGACCCAGGACTAATTATTTAAAAGAGATATCACAAACTAAATATACTATCAGTCATTCTGTAATCCCAAAATAGAGTTAACCTAATATTTTGTAACTTGAATTCTGTGTGTTTGTGCACATGTGCACTGGGGCTCAAACCCAGGGGCTCTATACATTCTGGACAAGGATTCTGCCACAGGCCACATCCCCCATGGCCATCAGACAGCTCAGTTGTGTTCAGCTTTTTATAGTGATCTGCCTGTTCCTTTTCATTGTTACACTGTGGAGTCTGAGAACAGATGACAGGAAATTGGTAACCCTGGAGGACATAGAGCTACAACAGAGTTCTTTTAAGAACAAACTATGAGGCCAGGGATTTGGCTCAGTGGTTCCACCACCTGCCTTGCAAGCTCAAGGGACCGAGTTTGATCCCTGGTACCAAAAAAAGAATAAACTTTGGTTGAAATTTGTTTTATCTTACATGCTCAGGGACATAAGTGGTATGTTTGTGGAACTTTTGCATTCTGTTCTTTATCTGTATTGGTTTTAAGATGGAATCAAGATTTTAAATTATTCACTAGTGAAATTGATATTCCACTTGCGTACTCCTGAGGGTACAAATAACTGCCTGCTCTATTTTAAGAGCTACAACTATATACCATACTTGCATTTGTGTATGTTGGGGGGTACTAGGGATTGAACCTAAAGCCTTCGCACTGAACTATATCCCTAGTCCCTAGCCCCTTTTTTATATTTTGACACAAGGACTCAGTAAGTTGCTAAATTACCCAGGCTGGGCTCAAATTTGAGATTCTTCTGCCACATCCTTCCAGAGTACACCATCCCACGCAATTTAGACTATAATTTTTTATTTCTGGTACTGGGGATCAAACTCAGAACCTTGCACTTGCCAGGCAGTTGAGTTGCCACTGAGCTAAATCCTAGGCATGAGACTATAATTATTTTAACATCCCTTTAAGCTTTTGTATTTGAAATTCTGTCTTTATCTTGTGGAATTGTAACCTGTGAATTTTCAGCTTTCAGAGAAGGGGAAACCTTATGTTGATATCCAAGGTTTAACTGCCTCTACCATGGAAATCCTGTTGGACTTTGTGTACACAGAAACAGTACATGTAACAGTGGAGAATGTACAAGAACTGCTCCCTGCAGCCTGTCTGCTTCAGCTGAAAGGTACGGACATTAAAAGTTGCCATTGTTCATACCAAATTAGCCCTAGGAATGTTTTAAACTGTTACCAGATCCACCATGAAATTTAGACTGGACTATGGACGTTTTTGTTTATTGCCCATGGCTTTGGAATCTGAGCAACTAAGACAGGATATCAAAAGATGTTAGTATCAATCCAAAGGAACTGTCCAAAAACAAGGTTTTAGCTCTGGCAAAGAGCATTTACATCTTTTCTATTTTTTAAAAAGCAGAACAATGGATAATATATGCATTTTTCTTTCTTATAAATTGCTGTAAAAAATTTTAAAAACATAATTTTCATTGCCTACATAGATGCTGTTTATCTGCCTGATAAAGATAGACAGCCAGATACATAGGGAAGCTCAGCCTCCTGTAGCTGGGATTGCAGGAGTGCACCACCGAGCTGTTTCCAATCTTGTTTGTTTGTTTGTTTTGGTACCAGGGATCAAACTCTGGACCTTGTGCTTGTGAGGCAGGTGTGGTGTAAATTGCTGGCCCTAATCTTGTCTTTAACTTACAGTTTTTATTGTTTTTAGTTTGTATATGTTCATAATTGAAACAATTTCTACTTTTAATACAAGATTGAAATAAATTTATACTCTGACCTTTGTGTGTGTGTGTGTGTGTGTGTGTGTGTGTGTGTGTGTGTGTGGTGCCAGGGATTGAACCCTGGGTGAATGCTGTACCCTGAACTTTTCAGTTAGGCAAATATGAGACTGCTTATAGTATCTTCTGTTTTTGCTTCACTGAAATCTTTTGGTATGTAGTGATGTAGAGTAGGAAAATAGGTATATTGTGCTGAATTAGTAATTGGTTTTATAGTTTGGTTCCCAAGAGTTTTCGGTTTTGATCAATTGTACTGTACCAGTGTCTTTGTTTTGTTTTATTTTGTTGTTTGTTGTTGTTGTTTTGTTTTTTTGAGACAGGGTCTCACTATGTAATTGAGACTGACCTGGAACTCACTATGTAGCCCAGGCTGGTCTCAAACTCACAGCGATCCTCCTGCCTCAGCCTCCGGAGTGCTAGGATTACAGGCGTGCACCACCACGCCCGGCTTGTACCAGTGTCTTTGGAAGCAGTTCATCTTGCTGTACACTTTTTGATTTTTTTAAAAAAATTTTGGTTTTTGAGATAGGGTCTCACTGTGTAGTTGAGTCTGACTTGGAACTCACTATGTAGCCCAGGCTGGTCTCTGGGCTCACAGCGATCCTCCTGCCTGAGTTCTGGGATTACAGGCGTGCACCACCATGCCCAGCTGCTGTATACATTTTAAGATGAGGCAGAGACAGATCTGAAAGTTTTATTGAAAGTAATACAAGCCAGGCGTGGTAGTGAACACTTGTTAATCCCAGCACTGTGGGAGGCTGAGGCAGGAAGATTGCTTCGAATTGGAGGCCAGCCTCGGCTACGAGTTCAAGGCCATACTTGAGCTATGTTGCATAGTAAAACCCTGTTTTTAAAAACAGTAGTAAAAGAGAGCCGGGGATTTAGCTCAGTGATTCCGCTGCTTGCCTTGTAAGCACAAGGTCCTGAGTTCTGTGCCTGGTACAAAAAAAAAGAGAAAGTGGTGCAGCACATAAGACAGAAATAAAATTCAAATTCCTTTAGGATAAAATTTCTAATTTTATAGCCAGGTGTGGTGGCTCACTTCTGTAATCTCAGCACTCTGGGATGCTAAGGCAGGAGGGTTGAGGCTGCAAGTTTAAGCCCAGCCTGGGCAACTTAGTGACTTAGTGAGACCCTTTCTGAAAACCAAAATATTCCAGAATATCAGGAGATGTAGCTCAGTGCAAATGCCCTGGGTTCGTTCTCCAGTACTGGGGGTGGGGTCCTAATCTTGTGTTTTAAGTGTTGAGCCAGTGTACAACACATAGAGAAGAAATTCACTGCTTGTGTTTGTCCTAGGTGTGAAGCAAGCCTGCTGTGAGTTCTTAGAGAGTCAGCTGGACCCTTCTAATTGCCTGGGTATCAGGGATTTTGCTGAAACTCACAACTGTGTTGACTTGATGCAAGCAGCTGAGGTTTTTAGCCAGAAGCATTTTCCTGAAGTGGTCCAGCACGAAGAATTCATTCTTCTAAGTCAAGGCGAGGTGGAGAAGCTAATCAAGTGTGATGAAATTCAGGTACAGTTTAGGCTTGGTGTTTTGGTTGCCTTAAAACTGGGCCATTAGAGCCGGGGATTTGGCTCAGTGGTTCCACCACCTGCCTCGCAACGGTACCAAAAAAAAAAAAAAAAAAAAAAAAAAACCCTGGGCCATTAAAAACTTGCAAAGCAGGATGGAGTTACTGTTTCTGTGTCAGGGCTTTGTAATTATTTGTCTATATTGACTTCAAAGCTGTCAATGTGTTTGCGTATGTATGGAGAAGGAGTTCACCACTTTCCTTCATTAAATATATGATCCTGATCCTAGTGTTTGAAAAATCAGAGTGTAGAATAAGCAGAAATTGGAAGTAAATTCTTCCAAAATAATGTATTGCACATTCACTCATTTCAGAAACATTTATTGAAGATATATATGCTGTAGCAATCACTCTGCCGGGTGCTGTGGATCCAAAACCCAGTAAGATATAATTCTTGCTTTTAGGAATTCCCTGTTTGTGTGTCTGTCTGTGTGTCTGTCTATCTATCTGTATTAGATAATAATGGACCTATACAAGGTAAGGAAATTAATTACATGAAAGAAAACATTTGCCCAGAAGTGGATCAAAAAGAAAATGACAGGGTTGGGGATTTAGCTCAGTGGTTCCACTGCCAGCCTCACAAGTGTAAGTTCTCAGGTTCGATCCCCAGTACCAAAAAAAACAAAAAACAAAAACTAAAAGGAATGACAAAAGTTTGATAGTGAGGATCTGCACAAACATGAACCAGATCATAACAGCCTACTGCAGGTTCACGGGGGTGGGAAAAAGGGACATGAACTGGGTATTAACGAGTAAGGCTTCACCTAGCAGAGGGAAAACTACCGCACCAGCCAGGCATTCAACAGCCAAACACAGCAAGATTCTTAGTCCTAATTCTGGTTGGGTTTTTTTTTTTTTTCCTTTTATCTCTGTGTGTGAGTATGTATGTGTGTGTGTTTTTCCGTCCTAATTCTAAATCAGAGTAACAGTACCTTAGCCAAGTTTTGCACATATGTCTATAATTAGGCTGAAAATTAGGACTGAGAAAATCCAATATAGGGCTGTTAGATATATTTGGAGCCCATAGCACTTAAGTCTCTATGCTTTAATTTTTTAATTTAGATGGTAAGTTCTGGGAAAATACCCAGCAAAGCCAAGTGGTGAGATAACACTGTACCTGTTCTGTTGGTTTTGTTGTAGGTAGGAGAAAGTTGATTCTTGAGGCAATCAAAGTTTATTTTTGTTTTCCCCTTCTTACTCTCCTCTGGTAATAAGAAAAACACAGACTTTAAGGTAGTATATTCCCAGAAGTCAGTAGCACCTCTACAGGCATCTCGATTTAAACAAGAGGCCTGGGGATTTAGCTTGGTTCTGTGCTGCCTTGTAAGTGCAGGGTCCTGAGTTTGATCCCTGGTACCAGAAAGAAAAAAATTAAACAAGAAATTTATTGGAAAGCATCAGAATTTGATTAATAGCATAAGTATAATAGGAAGAAGTTGCTGTTTGCAGAAATTGTAGGATACACTTTTTTTTTTTTTTTTTTTTTTGTTTTTTTATGTAGTTGAGACTGAACTGGAACTCACTATGTAGCCCAGGTTGGTCTTGAACTCACAGGGATCCTCCTGCCTCAGCCTCCCTAGTGCCGGGATTTATAGGCGTGCACCACCACACCTGGCTTTGATACACTTTTGTAAGCCAAATGATCACTCCCTGATTTGTTAGGACTAGAGTTTTTATATAATATGATAAGTTTTAAATATATTTCATTTTAGACAAATTTTCTTTACATTTTTTTCCTAGTGACTTCTGAGAAAAAGCTGACTAGGGCACATTAGTAGCATCATTTTTTCAGCTATAGAAGATATATTTCCGAGCTTGACATGCTGTTGCATATCAGCCCAGATATAGTCTGCTACTGATACATGCTTAATCAGAAATCTGATAGAAGTGGGCATGATATTGCAGGCCTGTGATCCCAGCACTTGGGAGGCTGAGGCAGGAGAATCCCTGAGAGTTCAAGGCCAGTCTGGGATACAAAGGGAGACCCTGTCACAAAAAAGGAAAAAAAAAAAAAGAATCTGATAAAGCTAAGTTGTTGTCCTCAGGAGCCAAACCCCCTATTCTTCAGATTTGGAAACTGGCAATCTACTAGAATACCTTTGTTTTTTGTTTGTTTCTGGTATGGGGGATTGAACTAAAACTCAGGACCTTGTGCTTACAAGGCAGGCCAAAGAACCACTGAGCTAAATTCCTGGCCCTATCTTCATTTTTCTTATTCATGAATATGGTGGGCACTACAGACCTGAAATTCCCTGCATGTAGAAATAAAATAGCTAGTATTTACTCAGCATTTACCGTTGGTTACTTGCCAGATGTTTATTGAGCAGTTACTGTACCTAGGACAGCTCCAGGTGCTGGTGTCCAGTTGTGAATACGACAGGCACCATCTCCATGCCCTAGAGCTTCCATTCAGTTTTTTATCTTCTCACACTTTCACAAAGAGGCACTGAAGCTCAGAGGTTAACTGTGATCATGCAGCCAGCAAGTGTAGAGGCAGGATTCACACCCAGGTGGTCTGGCCTCTGTCTTCTTAACCTCTGGGGCCTGAACTCACCATGTGATCAGCTTGTTTCTAATTGTCCAAATCAGGAAGCAGTCATTGAAGTCATTTATTTTGGAATAGTCTAAAACTCTTGAATATAAAAGGACAGAGCAAATAACCATATTTAGAAGCTAAAATGAAAAAACAGTTTGAGAGCTCAAATGTTGCTTTCCTTAAGTAGTGTCTGTGTCAAGACAAGTATTTGGGGCCAGGAACTTAGCTCAGTGGTTCTGTCGCCTGCCTCGCAAGCACAAGGCCCCGAGTTCAATCCCAGGTACCAAAAGCAACAACAAAAAGACAAGTATTTGCTTTTTATCTGGAAAGACAGCAAACAATTGTTTTGTGTGTGTTCCATATACCAGCCAGAAATAGGAGCCAGATGTCTGACTCCCAGTGGCTAATTAATACTTTTTCTTTTTAAGTTAAACAGTACTTGTGGGGAGCAGTGTATCATAATGGTTAAGACAATACGGGTTTGTTAATCGAACGTGGGTATGGTGTGGGCATGTGGTATGTGTTACCTAACTGCTAACCTTCCGCTTCTTCTTCTGTAAAATACAGACAGTATTAATACTTAATACATAGGGCTGTTCAGGGATGTAAATGAAAATGCCAGTGCTTGGAACAGGAGAGAAATCTTTGTCAAGATGAGTTGTGGAAAAAATTTATTTTTCTCCATAGTTACTCACTAATGTTGGGGTTCCCCCCCCAATTTAACTGTTTCTCCTCAACTGTAATTTGTCTTTAGGAAAATCAATAAGCTCTATTCATTCAATTGAGATTTTTTTTTTCCAGTACCAGAATCAACCTCAGCACCTTGCACTTGCTAGGCAGGCGCAGTGCCACTGAGCTACATCCTGGCCCCAATTCTCATCAATTGATAGATCTAATTTAAGCCGAGAATGTGCCAGAGCACGATATGTACACACTTAAGCGTATGAATGCCAGTCATTCTCTTACAACAACAGAAATGTTTCAAATCGTGGACACCTTTCTGCACTGTCCCCGGATTTAATGCTTCACTAGGCTGGATTAGTGTGACCTCCCATTTGCAAGCGTCCTCCTTCATTATAAGCACTGCCACAGTGATAGTTTCCATACCATCACCTTTTTCCTGTTGTGCCAGAGTAGCATCTAGCTGATTGTTCCGCTCTCAGGTCTTCTAAAATGTTCTACTTGTTCTAGCCATGGTACAGTCGTATTAGGCTTCATATCTTGATGTCCCCCCAAAGCCTTGTTCACTCCTAGGTGGGGCTTGTGGGAGGTGATTGAATTGTGGATCATTGGACCAGTCCACTGGTGAGTTTACAGCGAAAGGTGATGTGGGGAGGCCAAGCCTGGTCAGAGGGGGTGGGTCAGTGGGGCGTGGCCTCGAGGAGCCTTACCTCCCTCCCTCTTTCCCTCCTCCCTTGAGAGATCTCTGCTTCCTGCTGCCATGCCACCCCGCCTCCTTGGGGCCAGCTAACTGGATTGAAACCTTTACAAACTGTGTCAAAATAATCCTCTTCTCCTTAGAGTTGTGGGTGTCTCAGCAATGAGAAAGTGACTGAAACAGGTCATATTACTAGTCTGGTTGAAACCTTTTAATGATTTCCTGTTGCTCTTAGGATAAAACCCAGTTTTCTGATACTCCTTACCTCTCCAGCTTCCCCCGTTAGCACCCTTCCATTCCCTCATCCTTGCTGCTCCACTGGCTGTCTCTCATTTCCTCAAGCCTTAGGGTATTGTCCAGGGAGGGTAGGTAGAAATGGTCTGTACTGCCCAGCTTGACAGCCACTAGCCGCATGTTACTGTGGCCACTTGAGATGTGACTGGGGGACGGGGTTGAGACGGGATCTCACTGTGTAGCCCACCTGGCCTCAAAGTTACGGCAGTCCTCCTGCCTCAGCCTCTGAAATACTGGGATCGCAGGCAGGCACCACCACGCCCCGCTGAAGTGTGGCTGTTGTGACCTCAAAGCTAAATTTTCTCGGCTGGCGGCTGCCGTATCAGACTGCAGCTAGTCTGAGTGCTTCTGGATATGCTCATCTGTATGCTTGAAATACTCATTCTCCATGGCTCTCTGCCACTCCTTCATCAGTTGTCACTTTATCGCTGCTTCACAGGGAGGCCTTCCCTGACTTACCAGTCGAAATCAGGAAATCTCATGTTATTTTCCTCCTATCCCCAGGACCTTTCCTTTACAGTGTGTGTTAACAATGAACTGTTCGGTTTTCCAGTTAGGATCTTAGCTGGTTTTTTCATCACAGTGTAATTAGCTTTAGCACAATGGCTGGCATGTAGTAGGAATTCAGTAAATCCATAAAAGGAATTAACTTTCTGAATTATTTTCTGCACAGAGTACCAGAGTTCTTGGGAAACCTTCATGGGACAGTTTTTTAATCTAGTCATAGTGATACTCTAAAAGTCATCTCTCACAGTTCTTAAGCCCTAGATGCTAGGGAAGGGTGCAAGACCTCTACTTAGGAGTGTGTCTGTGGGAATTCCTGGCATTACTATACCTGGTATCCCTCTGGTGATGTAATAATTTTTAAGGATGTGTCTCACCTTATCCGTCTTGTCATGGAAGCCTAGACCTAAGTCCTCTAATACGTCATCTCAAATGGCACAATGTCTGCTACATGGTAGTTGCTCAAATGCTAACATTTCACGCAGTTGATGTAAGAGAAGCTTTCTACCTCTGGGGGTTGAGGGGATGATGTGGAGGAGAACCTGGAGCTCATTAGACAGTAGTTATAAGTAAAAGTTATTTTCAGAGCCAGTTTATTTTCTTTCTCTTCCCTCCTCATACTGGGTCCCCCCTAAAAACCAAACTATATCCAGCTTTATTAAAGATACTGTTCATAAACAACCGTGGTATTTCAGGCAGGACATGGGCACACAGTTGTTAATGGTATACAACAACTTTCAAACAACTTCTTGAATGGGCCACCAAATACCAGAAATCCACTATAAAATCTAAAGAAGTCTTCGTTCCATGCTCTGAGTGGAGAAAGTTTAGAGTGAGGGTTGACACTTAGCATTTAGCTTTTTTTTTTTTTTTTTTTGAGACTAGGTCTTACTATGTAGTTGAGACTGACCTGAAACTCACTATGTAGCCCAGGCTGGTCTCAAACTCACAGCGATCCTCCTGCCTCAGCCTCCCGAGTGCTGGGATTACAGGCGTGTGCCACCACGCCCAGTTTAGCATGTTGTTTAACAGTTTGTCCCAAGCTGACCCTGACTTCAGGAAATGAAATGAAAACAGCAGAATTATCAGTCTGAAGACCCACAGTATAGAAAAGGAACTCACTACTCTGGTCGAACACCATCTGAGCGTCACCAGCAAGTCCGCATTGCTGACACACTGGTAACACCGAGTTTTGGGAGTCAGGTCGCAGTAGGTTTCTGGGCTTAACTCAGGTCTGTACTGATGGCAGAAAAGGAAAGGAGGGCATCAAATGAACTGGAAGTTTCCCCATACCACAAGGCATTTGTGCCGAGGCGGCCTTGTGTGTGACCATCAGGGACTCCTGGGAGCCAAGAGGAAGGCTCTCAGAATTATCAAGGAGAGATGTTTTTTCCACATCAGTCCAGCTTTGGAGACATCGTATGAGTGACACAATGAAGTGGGGCCGGGGATTTAGCTCAGTGGCACCACCGCCTGATCCCCAGTACCAAAAAAAAAACCCACAATGAAGTGTTCTAAGAGCTAACAACATAGCTTTAAAAAAAAGTAAAGAAGGCTGGGTGTGGTGGCGCACACCTGTAATCCCAGCACTTGGGAGGCTGAGGCGGGAGGATCACTGTGAGTTCGAGACCAGCCTGAGCTACATAGTGAGTTCCAGGTCAGTCTCAACTACATAGTGAGACCCTGTCTCAAAAAACAAAACAAAACAACAAAAAAAGTAAAGCAAAAATCTGCTTGATCAGAGTATTTCAGACTGTCCAGTCACCAGAGGTGCAGTTACCCGAGAGGCACACACTTTACTTTGCGTCACTTCACTTCTGTTTTCCCAAAGGGTCACCCATCCTTGGCGGCGTTGACTCCCCCTTTTTCCTTTGGGGCACCTTCTCTCCCTTCTTGGCAGGGCCTTTTTAGCTTGGGCTCTGGCTTTGAAGGAGTTGGTGTAGCAGACAGCCTTAAGGATCTGCTCTGCGGCTGTTGTCACCATGGGTTTTTCACCTTTAGTGTCCCGCTCTGCCTTCCTCTTGAGCGACGACAGCGGCAGGAGGTAGGCACTGGATGTGGATGCAGCGGCAGCAGCTGAGGCCTGTCCCGGGCGTTCTCACTTCTCCCTCACACCACTCCTCACTCTGGGCTTTAAAGCCCAGGGCCCTGCGTATGCTAGGCAAGTGCTGTGCTGCGGATACATAAAATGCAGGATTGAAAAATGTCTGAAACAGACTAACACGTGACTCCGGTGGCTCATTGGGTACTTAATTTTCTTGTTTGTTTTCACACAAGTTGATGGTGATTCTTTTTCTGCGTGTGAAAAGATTGTTTTCCCAAGAGGCTGTTTCAGAAAGATGGGAATAATGGTGGTGGGCACCAGGGCGCAGAAAGGAGAAAGTAAACTTGGTTCTTTACTGAGATTGTGAGGCAGTTGGCAAAGCAGAAATCCATGCTGTGTAATTGTACATTCACAGGTGGATTCTGAAGAACCAGTCTTTGAGGCTGTCATCAACTGGGTGAAGCATGCCAAGAAGGAGCGTGAAGAGTCCTTGCCTGACTTGCTACAGTATGTGCGCATGCCCCTGCTGACCCCCAGGTATATCACGGATGTCATTGATGCTGAGGTGAGTTGTGCAGGACACTCAGGGTCCAGAACCTCGACTGTCTCTTACAGCTTAGTACTGTGTACTCAGAATTGATCCATTTCAACCGAGCCTGGTGGTGTATAGCTATAATCCCAACCCTTAGGAGGTTGAGGCAGGAGGATCACTGAGTTTGAGGCCATTGTGGACCACATAATGAGTTCAAGGTCAATCTACACTACCTAGGGAGACCCTGTTTCAAAAGTTTTTTTTTTCCCCCTGAGGGGTCTCATTGTGTAGACTAGCTAGCTCAAACTCTCGAGATCCTCTTGCCTCAGCCTCCCAAGTGCTGGGATTACAGGTGTGTGCCACCACACCCAGCTTTGATCATTTTCATACAGGCACATTCTCCTGTTTGCCTCTCTGGGAATGTCAGAGAGGACAGTGCTGGGTATTTCCCATGCATATTTCTAAGAAAATCAGTAGCTTGACTGTTAGGGCTCCTGGCACAAATAAAAATCAGTAGTTTTACTGAATTTTGTGTTTTTTTGTTTGGTTTGGTTTGTTTTTTTTTTTAGGTACCAGGGATCAAACTTGGGACCTTGCACTTGGGAGGTAGGCAGTGGAAACACTGAGATAAATCCCCAGCCCTGTTTTTTGTTTTTTTTTTTAACATGCCCTAAGTGTTTTATTTAAGCAACATCAGATGATAAACTTTGTTTCCTTTAAATATAAATTGTTACATACTGTCCTGGAAAAAAAAAAGGACAAAGATACTTCTTAGCAAACGTGTTTATTTTTTACCTTTACTGAAGCCAGCATGAAAGTTGTTAGATACATTTTAGAATCAACTTTCGTCAGTGTTGAGCTCACTGATAACAATTTTTGTTCAGTTTAAGTTCCCAGTGTTTCATAATTTCTGCCATGTGTTACACCTGTTACCCGGGCCGCACTTTGGAGGAACTGATTATAACATGCATGTAAGGCACAGGTCGGTAAATTAAGTTTCTATTGCTGGCCCAGCCCTGGATCTTTTGCAGGGGTTAAATACAAAACCAGTTTTCCAGTTGTTCCCCTTAGGAAAGCTGTGGGCTGGTTGCTTAGTGTCATATCTCTAATTTTTACCTCTTTGTAATTTCTTTCTTAAAACTCATCTATATACTCCCTGAGTCTAGTTTTCATCATAGTTAGGTGCAGACTCTAAAGCCAGAATTAGGGCACTGAAATCCCAAATCCACCACTTAACTATGTGACCCATAGGCAGATTACTTAGTATATTTGTGCCTCAGCTTTTTTATCCGTGAAATAAAATAATAGTCCCTACTTCATAGTTGTTGTCAATACTATGTGAGTTAATATGCAGAAGCTTTTTTTTTTTTTTGGTACCAGGGGTCAAATTTGGGACCTTGCGCTTGTGAGGCACAGGGCTGCACTGCTGAGCTAAATCCCTGGCCCTGCAGATGCTTTTAGAACCATATCTGTCTTGTACTTCGGTATGCACTGTTATTTATTTTCCTAATTCATACTAAAAACTATTTGGGTCAGGTTAATAGGGAACAGATGACATGCTCAAAATTATACAATTTAAGGAGCATTTGTGTACAAAGGTGGAGTATATGGGCTGGGGATGTAGCTCAGTGATGACACTGCCTGCCTCGCAAGTACAAGGACCTGAGTTCATTCCCTGGTACCAGAAAAAAAGGTGGAATATAAAGGAACAACAAAAGACCGTGAAATAACAGGGATCTAATAGAGCCAAGCTGTTAATGACCCTTAAGCCAGAGAGACTACACTGGAGGAGTGGATGCCAGAACCTGAAAGGAATGAGTCACATAGAGTCTCTGGGTCTAGAGGACCCTTGACATTCCTTGAGGCCAATCCCAAACAAAAGCCAGAGGGCACGGGAGCTGTTGACAGAACACATTAGGCCAGTCTGCGGGCCAGAGAGCAAGTCAGAGGAGGATACAGAGAATCCAGGGAGCAGATGTCAGCACAGCGCTGTCTAAAATACACACAGGCATCTTGACAATGCTGTGAACCTTGGGGAAATTATTCCAGAGAAGAGATACCCTTCCCCGTCACCCAGAAAATGATGGAGGCCTTAAACTTTTCAGTAGGTATGCTGGATTTGGTGATGCAATAGGCTGAGGCAAGAGGATCACCAAGAGTTTGAGGCGAGCCTGGGCCTCAATAGTGAGATTGTGTCTCAGAAACAACAACAGTAACAAGTACAGTAAGTCCTCATGAACATTCAAGTGCAGAGTTTCACAGATGTGAACAGACCTCCCTCACATTAGGAACATCCCGGGGATGCGAACAAATTGCAGAAGTGGCACAAGTGCCTGTTGGACATTGTCTGTGACTATGGACAGCAGTGCAACACTTGTTCAGAGCCCAGGATGCCTGGAAGCAAAAGGAGAAGCAGTGTTGATGTGGAGGGACTGCTAGAAAGTGCAAAGCAGTACACATTGTGTATTTGTGTCAGAGGTGTGTAAGACTCACCTTGCTGGACTAAGGAATGAACCACAGACATTCTCCTGGAATGGAACTTGTTCGTAAGTTGGGGGCAGACTGGACTGGTTATTATATACTTATCTTTATCACCTCAGGCTGTAGGGATCGATAGAGATAGTTACGTGTGAGTGCAGAGGCAGATGGCCTGGTATATTTACGTACGTACTTGTATTTGGGATTGAACCCAATGCCTTGTGTGTTAAACATGCAATGTACTGCTTTGCTGTATCCCCAGCCCCTATATCATTTCAGTTTTGATCCATGTTATATATTACCTATTTTTAAAATGAAAAAGCCAAGAGTAGTGTCACACACCTGAAATCCAAGGACTCGGGAGGCTGAGGCAGGAGAATCTCTATGAGTTTGAGCCCAGCCTGGGCTGCATAGTGAGTTCAAGAGCAGCCTGAACTACACAGCAAGACCCTGAGTCAAACAAACAAACACCCCCCACCAAAGAAAAAAGAAAGAAAATAAAGCTGGGCATGGTGGCAGATACCGTTAATCCCATCATTCTGAGAGACTGAGGCAGGAGGGTTGCAAGTTTGAACCCAGCTCACACAATTTATAAACTTAGCAAAATTGTCTCAAAATAAAAAAATACAAAGGGCTGAGGATGTAGCCTCATGGGAAGTCCCTGCGTTCAATCCCTAGTACCTCAGTAAAGCAATGAAATTGTAAAAATCACTTCTAGAAACCCACAGCATAGTTATTATCAGTCATCCTGGAATCACAGGTCTTGGGGTCTGGCTTTCTATGTTAGATTCATTCTTTGTGTCAGTTTACTCTTGTGGCTTTAGAAAGTGGCCCACTTGCCTCACTTGGGTGTCTGCTCATTTCAGCCATTCATCCGCTGTAGCCTACAGTGCAGAGATCTGGTTGACGAAGCAAAGAAGTTTCACCTGAGGCCTGAGCTTCGGAGCCAAATGCAGGGCCCACGGACCAGGGCTCGCCTAGGTAAGCTGGCGTCTCGGCAGAAGGAGTCGTTTTCAGCTCCCCCTTGCAGGTACCGTAGTGTAGTTGAAAACATTTTCTATAGAAGCACCGAGACCTCACTGCAGACCTGCTTTTAGTTTTTTTTCTTTTTTGTGGTACTGGGCTTCAGAGTCGAGGGCATCCTATTACTGAGCTACATCTCAAACGCTTTTTATTTTGAGACACAGTCTTGCCTAGGTTAGCCTGCCTCAAACCTGTGATTCTCCTGCCTCAGCCTCCTTCATACCTTGGGTTATGGATGTGTGCTACTGTGGCTGGCTGCTTTTTTTTGGGGGGGGGGGGGTACCGAGGATTGAACTCGGGTCCTTGCGCTTGCAAGGCAGGCCACCGAACCGCTGAGCTAAATCCCCAGCCCCGTGGTTGCTTTTAGTCTTTTATTGTCTCATCTCAAACAAGTCACCATTCTAAGCTTTCTTTTTGTAAACCAAAAATATCTTCTCTGTTTCATGTAACTTTTTGTGATTAAACAAGATGACGTATAAAAGATTCGTATAAGTTGTCGTATTGTATAATTTTATTTCAGTATTTTTAGATTCTGTCAGAGACGGTTATTTTGAATGTCGTGTGTGCTTCCACCCACTTCTCCTCTTCCCCGTGTGTGTTCTTCTTCATTCTAGAACAAAAACAGGGAGGAAAAGGAGCCCAATAGAGTAGAAAACACAAGTGTTTTGGCAGTGACGTGCAGTTGTCACAAGCCTGGCTCTGGGGCCAGACCTGTGGGTGCAGATCGCAGCCCACCTGCCCTGGGTGCACTCACTCGGGAAGGAACCTTCACCTCTGTGCCTCTCTTAGCTCGTCTGCAGAGTGATAATCGCATAGCAACTACCGCTAAGGCTGTTACCAGAGTAACTGAAGTGAGGTATGGAAAGGCTTAGGGCAGCTCTCGACACGTGAGCAGACTCGGGTTCACAGCCCGGCCTGCCGGTAACTGTTGAATGCGTTGGTCCTTTTGAGGCTGTGTTGCTTCCTCTACTGAAGGCTGGTTTCTCACTCACTGGCTCCTGGGGAGGGGAGGTAAATGAGATAACGTGGGTAAGATGCGTGGCACCGTAGCCGCTACAGAGTAAGTACGCAGGTATTTCTTCTCGTCCCATTTGCTAGTCTCCCTGCTTCACTCTTCAAAAGCCTGGCTATGTAATGTGTAAAAGTATGTATTTTTTTTCTTGCTCTTATGTTAGAATCATGCAATGAATGTTAATAGTTAAGCTGTTCATTGAAAAGTTTAAGCAGAGTGGTTTTTTGTTTGTTTTGTTTTGGTTTTGGTTTTTTTGAGACAGGGTCTCACGTTAGTGCAGGCTGGCCTTGAACTCTAAGCAGGCCTTGCACACACTAGACAAGAGCTCCACCACCCCAGCCCCTCTTCTTTCTTTTTGGTGTATCTGTGTGCCCTTGAGTTTCTTCCTGTAAATATTCATTGTTAGTTTTTAAAGATTTAAGTTGTTCAAATCCAGATCCAAAGTCCACACATTGCACTGATTACCCATTGTCTTGAGCTTTTTTGTTTTTTGAGACAGGGTCTCACTGTGTAGCCCAGGCTGGTCTCAAGTCACAGTGATCCTCCTGCCTCAACCTCCCGAGAGCTGGGATTACAGTTGTGCACCACCACGCCTGGCTCTGAGCTCTTTTGATCTATAGATTTTTTTTTTCCGTTCTTCCTTTTGGTTTTTCTGGCAAATTTATTTGTTAAACCAAGTTTTTTGGCTTACAGGGTTTTCCATAATCTGGATTTTGCTGTCCTTACATTATCATTTAGCATGTGCTCCTGTCGGCTGCATTTCCTAGATACTGATGATTATTATAATAGAAGCTTGGTAAAGTTCAAGTTCTCTGTGTTTATAGTGCTGGGGACTGAACCCAGGATCTTGGGCAGGCTATGCAAGTACTGTGCCACTGAACTATACCCCAGCTCTTCTTTTTTTCTTCCCCCCCTCTAGTACTGGAGGTTCAACTCAAGATTTTGTACTTGGGAGGCAGGCACAGTGCCACTGAGCTAAATCCTGGCTCCTCACATATTTTCTTTTTGTTTTGACTTTATGTATGTATCTTTGTAACAGGGTCTTGGTATTAGCCCAGGCCATCTTTGAACTTCCTATGTAGCACATGCCGGCCTTAAATGTGTGATCTTCCTGCCTCAGCCTCCCACATTATGGGCATATGTCACCACACCCAGCTTTCATGTTACGTTTTTTAGAGACATTACTGTATAGGTGGGAGTGTTCTCCTTTCTGTTTGTATATCAGTAAACACAGCATCTGATGGTACTATATTAGCTTTCCCTCTATTGATCATAGCAGCCATTGATGATGATTGTCAGATTTGGTGCCTCATTAATGGTGTCTCCATGTTTCTTGTCACTTTCAAGGTGCTGCATTTGTCTTTTCAAGTGCAGGTAGCTTATAAGATCATCCTGGTCTCCTAACTGCCTTCCTAGTGATTGAATTGTCCAGAGCTCTGCCAAACTCCTCTCCATGAATTTAGTAGAACAGAATGCACAGAGAATTTCCTCTGATTTTGTTTTAAAAGCCAGTGTAGGAAATAGTTTATCAGAATAAAGCCTTGGAGGAATGGTGAGAATATAAAGGTTGTCAAATGACTTCTTTAGGACAGTAGGAAAAAGGACTTTCTTTTCGCTCTCCCTGTGGGCTTCAGTTCTCTTCAGATCCTTGCTGGGTCCTAGGGACCCACTCCCCTCTTTTTCCTTGTCCTCATGTTGCTATATTCTAGCATCTGGATGCCAAATCTCAGAGAAGCTGTTTTCCTGCTGTTCACTACTCTGCCATCTTCCCAGAAGTCAAGAAAAGGACTTTCCTTTAAAAGCCTTGTCCTTCTTGCCTGCAGTCTGAATGAATTGGCAGGAAATGTGGTACATAGCCATGGAAGAGATTTTTTTAAATGTAAAACTTGGTTCCTAAGTCTTAGCCTGCAACTTTTTAATGACAAGATTAGGGGAATTTTGTTTCCCATTACAAAAAACAACAACAAGAACCCCTCTCAATTTGGGTTTTGCAGGTTGAGAAAAGTAAGGGATGCCTCTAGCCTGAGGACCTGAGTTACTGTGTTAGTCAGTCATCTAGCTAGGTTGAAATGGGTAGTGGTTTATTCAGGTTTGCCTTTTACAGTTTTAATGTTGTCCAGGAATTTGCATTTCAGAGATTCGGGTCCTCAAGATTCGTGTTCCTGGTAGGCAGCTGTGTGGTGAATCTCCTGTTTCAGACTACTGCTGGGGTGAAAAACAGAATACCCTAGAACTGTTTCTACTTCTGCTTCCCTGGGAGTAGTTACACAGCCCGGGATCCTAAAGTGACTTACCTTTACTGCCTTTGTCTTTAGGAGCCAATGAAGTGCTTCTGGTGGTTGGGGGCTTTGGAAGCCAGCAGTCTCCCATCGATGTGGTTGAAAAATATGACCCCAAGACTCAGGAGTGGAGCTTTTTGCCGGTAAGTGATGGTGGAACCATTCCTGGACAGAAAGCCTAAATATCCTTTCCAGCTGCTGCTGATAACTAATGCAGCCCTAAGAGCAGACAAGCGTGGTACCAGCACAATATTCCTTACAACAGTGTTGTACATACGGTTGGTATTCAATAAACAGTTTCTTGACCGTTCAGATTAGATTTGTCCTCAGAAATGTCATTGGTTGCGTGTCAGACTCAGTTCAACTGGCCACCACTGTTGAAGCTCCCAGGCTGCTCCAGTGGTGTGCTGTATTAAACTGAGCCCAGGATTAGACTGTGCTAAATTGAACTCAGAATTTATCTCCCTCAGTATATCTGTTTCAGTATAGTAATCATTTCTGAGAAAAAGAGATATTTTAGGCAGTCTTCCTATTAGGACCCAGGAGTCCTGGCCGTTTGATTACCAATGTGGAAATACATTTCCACTTTATGAAACAGTATCAGTCTCTTAGCTTAGTGCTTTTGAAGAGGAGAGGAGTCAGATACTGGTCGTAGAAAGCATCAGAATCTGTCAGAAACCTTGAAATGAGGCAGATGTGCAGAACGCTTGCATCTCTCGGGACCACAGCAAGTGTTTTGTGCATTGGGTAGTCAGCTGCAGGACACCTCAGGATGAACTGCTGCCTCAAGCAGGTCCATGGAGACAGGTGAAGAAACATAAAATGAGTGGCTGGAGCTAGGTGTGGTGATGTAGGCCTGTGATCCCAGCACTCGGGATGCTGATGAGGTAGGAGGATCTCTTGTGACTTGAAGGCCATCCTGAACCACACAGTGAGCCCCTATCTCAAAAAAAAGAACAAATGGCAGGAAACAGGAAGGATAATGTAAGGAAAGGCCTAAACCTGCATGACTGAAATGCTCTGTACCTCTTCCCTCTCGAATTCATAGAGCATCACTCGAAAGAGACGGTATGTGGCCTCAGTGTCCCTCCATGACCGGATCTACGTAATTGGTGGTTATGATGGCCGTTCCCGCCTCAGTTCAGTGGAATGCCTGGACTACACAGCAGACGAGGACGGGGTCTGGTATTCTGTGGCCCCAATGAATGTCCGACGTGGCCTTGCTGGGGCTACCACCCTGGGAGGTAGGCTTAGTGTTTTGTCTTATTGTGTGGCAGGATCAGTGTGCTTGCTTCTGGCAGTAGCATGGAATATCCAGGAGAAATCAGTACAGTCGAATAGTGTTTGGCTTATGGAAATAGCATGTTTAAAAAGGCAATTCAGTATTTGTGCACATTTCTACACTGACTACAAGGTTGGTAATTCAGTTTCTAGTGGCTGGATGGGAACTGGCAGTATTTTTATAACCTCCCACATAGTCTTCGAACACTTAAGGATTTCGTCTTACACCATTCTTTTTAGATGTCCTTACTGCTATGCTGCTTTCTTACCTGTGAGATTTAATTCGCTTATCCCATTAAAAAATTGTTTTCCAGATATAGTGGCACATGCCTATAAGCTCTTTTACTGAGGAGGCTGAGGCAGGAGGATCACAAGTTTGAGGTCAACCTGGGCAACTGTTTTTTTATTTTGTTTTTGCATTTTTCTCCCAGTCATCTGAAGGACCTGTGAGGAACTTGTAGAGAAAAGGGTTCTTAGAACTCTCATTCATTAATGCTCTGTAATTTCATTTTGAGCAGATATGATCTACGTCTCTGGAGGCTTTGATGGAAGCAGGCGCCATACCAGCATGGAGCGATATGACCCAAACATTGACCAGTGGAGTATGCTGGGCGATATGCAGACAGCCCGAGAGGGTGCTGGACTAGTAGTGGCCAGTGGAGTGATCTACTGCCTAGGTATTCAGGCTGGGGTGCAAAATGGAGAGAACTCAGTGGTTAGCAGACTCTGGGTGGGATCCCTTTTTACCAGAATTAAATTCGTATAGACTTCCTTCAACAAAAACTCTGGTCTATCTCAATATAGTTTCTGTTTACTAGAATTGTCTTATTCTTCTACACAAAAAGTAAAGGTCATGTTGTTATTCTCTTCGAGTTATTAGAACTCTGGGAGAACTGAAAGTAGAGGAATTGGTCGAAGCACTTGGAGAAGACCAGCTGACAATGGGCCTGAGGATATTCCTTTCTTTCTGGAATGATCTCTGCTTTGTCTTCCAGGAGGATATGACGGCTTGAATATCTTAAATTCAGTTGAGAAATATGATCCTCACACAGGACACTGGACTAATGTTACACCAATGGCCACCAAGCGTTCTGGTAAGACCAGTCAGATGTGAGGGAGGGGACAGTAGCCCTTAGTGCCATCAAATCTTTCCACATGCACTGGGGTGTAGTCAGAGGACAGAATAAATCAGAGACTTACTGTAAGTATGAGTAAGATTCCAGTCTCCTCTATCCCTCTGTTTTCCCTAGTTAGTAGGGTAAAGATAGCTTAAACTTCCAACTAGATTATAAATTTCAGGGCTAAAGTCTTATTTTATTCATTTTTTAAGTTTTCTGTTACCTTCCTGCATTCTAGAATACCTAATACAATTTTGTGCATATGCTACATCTTAAATGTCTGTTAAATAAAACCCCTAAAGCATAAGGTTGGAAGATAGAGGAGTAACTCTTTACTTTCACTGAGAGCTTCTGAAGTGAACTACTTGTTATGTACGACAAGAGAAAACAACATGCTGTGCTTGTTTTACTTCCTCTGCATAAAAGTTATACCAGAACTGTGATCAGAACTCCTCTCCTTCCTCTCCCTTCTTTCACCTTTATTGCCCCTGCCTTTTTGCACCCTTGTTTTCTTCTGAAGAGGGGTGAACTCTATTAATGAAAATTTTAAAAAGAGCCACTTAAACTTTTCTTTATCATTTCAAGTTCTAAGCAGAGTCTACAAATGGAATAACTTGCGCTGCACTAGATTTTTGGGCCTGTGTGGGCAGTCCCATGTCCCTCATGTACTCTAGAATTTAGCTAGCCATTAAGGACCATATTTTGTTTCTAGGATTTATATCCTAGTCTTAGTGCCATTCATGTGCTAATTTCCTTTTCCTCCAGGTGCTGGAGTGGCCCTACTGAATGACCATATTTATGTGGTGGGGGGATTTGATGGTACAGCCCACCTGTCTTCCGTTGAAGCATACAACATTCGCACTGATTCTTGGACAACTGTTACTAGTATGACCACTCCACGGTGCTATGTAGGGGCCACAGTGCTTCGGGGGAGACTCTATGCGATTGCAGGGTGAGGCATTGGAAGCCAGAGTAACATCATCGTACATCTAGGGCAAGAGTTTCTGTATCCAGTCCGTTTGTGGATGGAGACAGAGTCTGGGGTGGCAAGACAGCTCCCGTGACAATGTTAATGAAGGACATATATGTAAAGGAATAGAAAGCTCATTTCTTTTTCTTTTATTTTCCTCCCCTCCCCTGCTCAGATATGACGGCAATTCCCTGTTGAGTAGCATTGAATGCTATGACCCTATCATTGACAGCTGGGAAGTGGTGACATCTATGGGAACGCAGCGCTGTGATGCTGGTGTGTGTGTTCTCCGAGAGAAGTGACCATTGTTGGAGCACCATCCACGGCTAGTGACTAGTTCAAGGGACACTTTGTGGGAGAATCAAGGATCCTTTCCAGAATGTCTTATTTCTCACTGTGTGCACAGGGTGATTACAGGCACCACTGCAGTGATGATTGTACTTACTGACACACATTTCGCACACTGGTTAAGTCCCTCAGAAGGGTGGCTAACAGATACTTAACGGAGAGAATGCACACTGAAGGGGTGTAAGACTGGATCCTTGTCCATCTGGCCTGCAGAGCACTGTCGTCATGTCTGACTTCCCACATGCTTGGGAGAATGTGTATATGTTGTGCCTCATCGGCAGAGAACCTCATGTGGATGGAGTCCAGCCTGGAAAAGCGGAAGGACACCAGCTTGAGTAAACTTGGTAAAGTTCAAGTGTTTTTTCCAGGAACAAATAACTTCTCTAATGTACTGGTAGCTAGAGGCACCACAGTTTCATTCTGGAGGCAAAGAGAAGGAAGAATACCCCCATCATAACTTTGGTGCCAGGAGAGGGATTCTCAAGACACTCCCTTGGTGTGGGGGACAGGGTTGGCATCTCAGAACTGAGGTTAGAATAAATGACAGGAGCTGAATTTTGATGCAATGTGAATTAATCTGGAACACCACTGAAACAACCTGGAAGACTGAAGAGGACGTTACTGGACAGATATTTTTATTTCCCCAAGATCTTTCTAAAGTAGAGTTGTACATCTTGGCACTGAAAACCCTGAGAGAATAATGGTGAACAAAAGTTGAGATGAGACTTCAGTATATCTGGGGGTTAATTAGAAGTACCTGTGATTCTGCAATTGTCTTATTCCCTGCCAGGACTCATGTAGCCTTGGCAGTGTTTGTCTTGAATGGGTAAAAGACTGTCCGTCTTTGTTGAACAAACACTACTATACCGGTACACTTATTATTTATTTGGGGATGGGTTGGGAGTGGCAGCAGCCTAAAAGTTCAGCTACCTGATTACTGCCCCAGTTTTTCAAGGGCACACTTCTGCTAAAGAGTGGTTTTTACTGCTGTGATTGGTGCATCTAGTTTTCTTTCCAGTTAGTTCCAGCACCTTTGCCATCGCATTCTGAGCTCCCTTGTGTCATGGAGTGAAGTTCTTGCTTTGTGGATACTGCAGGTGTGGGAATGTGGTAACCTAAACAAGGATGCATTTTTCCCTTTGCTCTGGAACTTCATTTTTTCCCCTCTTTTCCCTGAGTTGTATTAACTGACAGAGTTCATTTCCTTTGTATTTTTTTAAGAAAATATTAAAATTGTCTCAAATGCCTTTAAGAATGTGGCTAAGCACCTCTGTTTTCAGCAGACATTTTGGGGGACAGGCATAAGGATTAGCTGTACTTTCCATCTTCAGTCTGGTCACCTGTGTGTTTGTCAAATACCCCTGGTGTTTTTCCTTTAAAAGTTTCTAAGAGGCAAGATTGAAAAAAAAAAAAAGTTGCTAAGAGATAGCATTTTACCACCATGGAGATCTTATAAGTAAAATGTTTACCTGAATCTTCTGTATTCAGTTGCTGTTCTCAGACTTGGAGTTTACTTGAAAACCAAAGGAACTACAGAGGAGGCATTCTTCAATTTCAGGGCATCAGTCATCCCAGTTGTTTATTTCTTTGCTTTATGGCACGTGATATAAGCAGCCATCCAGAATGCCAGCAGAACTGCAAGAATCCTGATGTTCCAGAGCAAAAGGAGGAGAAGCTGCAAGAGAAAGTCATTCTCACTAGAGCAACCTGCTAGCCTTTCCTTAGCCATTGGATTGTGCCCGCTACCAGAATGCCACCCTGTGCACCATGACTCATCCAGTCTCAGGAGAGAACCCTGGGGGACAGAAGCAGAGGCAGGGTACTGACGGCTCTTAAGCCTGTCTACAGGGCTGACTTTTGAGTTTGAAACCAAATTCACAAATAGTTTATATACTGAAGTTACAAGAGAATATTCTACAGAAAAAAACAACATGTAAAAATCATTACTCCTTTTCTACTCTTCCCAGTTTTACATGCCTTCAGATGCTCACACAAGAATACAGAGATTGCCCTAACTTGGAAGTTCCTTCTGTATTTCTAGGTCCTGTAACTGGCAACCAGCCACTTAAGTTACCTAACCTAGGAAAACTTGTATCTGTGCATCCTCACAATACAGAGACATCCAGTTAGTTTCTAAGTTTACAGTTTGTCTTTTATTATACCAAATGCACTAGCATTATTTTCATTCCTTGTGTTACCACATACCTCAGTCCTTTATGTTGGATTTAAGGGTAATAATCTGACAACTTTATGCTACCCTTTCCCCCTCAAACTCTAGTTCTTCCATTTTGTCATTAGTTACCTTCCTTAGTGCTCAGATAGGATTACAGTACTTAACATACAACAGATTCTCAGTAAATTCTGAAGTTAATACTCCCCTAAAATTCCATGATTTCCATTGCCAATATGAAAAAGTTCAAACCCCTTAGCATGAACTTTAGACACCTGATTTTTTTTTTTTTTTTTTTTTTGTTTTTTTTATTTTTGAGACAGGGTCTATGTAGTTGAGACTGACCTGGAACTCATTATGAAGCCCAAGGTGGTCTCAAACTCACAGTGATCCTCCTGCCTCAGCCTCCTGAGTGCTGGGATTACAGGCATGTGCCACCACGCCCAACTAGACCCATGCTATTATGAAAGCTGCTACCTCTAATCTTACCTACTGTTACTCCACCCTAGGCATAATGTGCTTCAGTTATTGGACTGCTAACCATTCCTGAATTTGAGCTCACCCTGGTTCATGTTCCCACTGAAATCTTGCTTTTCTGACAATCCTAGTTTTTTTCTATGTATGTATTTTGTTGTGATTGTGGTACTGGGGATTGAACCCAGTGCCTTCACACTGAGCTACATTCCCCAGCCCTTTTTTGAGACCGGGTCTCCCTAAATTGCAAATTTCTCAAACTGGTTTCCTGTCTCAGCCCCCTGGAGTGCTGGGACTAAGGGAGTGGGTCTCCCCGCCCAGCCTGGTTCAATGTCTCTTAATGCCTAATTATGGTATCATCTAGGAAAAGCGGTTTCTAACTTCCCAGAATCACTCCTCAGTCCATGCTTCCATTTACAGTACTTGTTCCGTGATCGTGTCTTGTGCTATTGGGTTTGGGTCTGTCTGAATTATTTTTCTTTTTTTTTTTTTTTTTACCAGGGATCAAACTCAGGACCTTGGGCTGGCCAGGCTGGCTCTGTCTTATACTAAATATTCTCTTTTACAAAATGCCTGTTATATCCTTAGGGTGTAGTATAATGTCTGGTGTGTCCTTACTCCAGTGTGCAACTAATGAAAGGTGAAGGACAGAAAAGTTTGCATGAGATGTTGAGTGGATTAGAATTAATCAGGTGATTTATTCCCCCCTCATCCTGTTCCCCCTGCCCAGTTCAGGAAACCAAGAACCTGCTACACTAGAAATAAGCTGTACAGACAGATGACAGAATATGCTGTAATAATCAAGCTGTGGTTTTGGAGTTGCACGTAGATCTAAGGACCTAGAAAGTAATTTTCTTTGCCTTTTTCAGTGTGCACTGGGAATAAATGTGCAAGCCCCATTAGGTAACTGTGACGACTTAACAGGTTTCCAAAAGCACTAAACGTTTTTGCTGCACAATGGTCACGGCGATTAGCAATTGAAACTTTCACACATCTTTTTTCCAATACCAAAAGGCACACACCCTTGTCTAAATTGCTTCCTACAAAAGTAGCTATACAAACTTTGCTGGGGGCGGGGGGTCCGTCGAGTCCCTCCACTCAATCCCAAAAATGACCTCTAAACGTGTAAGGCCATCCTTAATATTATTTTTCTAGCTCTGTTAAAGGGAGCCCGGAGACCAGGAGAGTATACAGAGGAAGGACTTGTCACACTGGTCCCAGGACGTGTCCCCGTCACAAAGCCTGCCGGAACCCTGCCACTGGGATTGGACAGTAAAAGCGGGCGCTTGCGCAGCAGAGCCTCGCACAGACAGGCAGACGCCTGCGACCCGCCCCAGTGGACTCGCGCCCGCGCAGTGAAGTGAGCGAGCGCAGACTGCGCCTGCGCGGTCGTAGCCGAGGGGCGCTGTAGAGGCGGCGGCGATGGAACCAGCAGGGCACCTGAACAAGTTAGTGTCAGCCGAGGGCCGAAACCGGAAGGCGGTGCTGTGCCAGCGTTGTGGCTCTCGCGTGCTGCAGCCAGGGACCGCTCTCTTCTCCCGCCGACAGCTTTTCCTTCCGTCCATGAGGAAGAAGCCAGCCCTGGCCGATGGCAGCAATCCTGATGGCGATCTCCTCCAGGA